GCCACGTGAAGCAGACAGCAGACAAGGGAAGAGATCAGATGTTTAGCTCTTGGGCGATTTTGGCTGTTGAACATAGTAAATTCGCCTATCAAATGTGTTCGCTGCAAAGTCTGCAGCAACTTTATAAATCATATGAGTAATCCTTTGAATCAGTTTTTGGCTATGTGTTGCTCAGGTGAACTTACACTTGTTTCACAGCCAAACATTCGGGGTTGGTTTGCTGTCTATAATTCCCATAAATACTGGTTTTAGAAACATAAGTGGTGGCTTAGATTAGATATGAGCTAAGTATCTCGACAATAGGGAAGGCTGGTACATATGTCAGGTTGAGCTATTTATGGAACATATATCCTTACCTGACAGGCAGGGAATGGCTCAGCCCATAACACTGTATGTATTACCTGCTGCAATGAAAAGGTGCCTTTGGGCAACATGTTCTGATTGCAGAGAGGGAAAAATCACTTCCCCTCTTCCCATATCTCTGTTGAATTCTCCCATCAGCACATGGCTGGCCCCTGAAATGGAGGAGTTCAAGTTGCATTCATTTAACCTAAATCTCAGCACCTCCAAGAAGCTGTGTGAATGAATGAACCTTCAGTTGTTTCAATGCCTGAATTAATGATTGATTCAGGTGGGGTAGCCGTGTTGGTCTGAAGCAGCAAGTTTGAGTCCAGCGGCACCTTTAAGACCAACAAAGGCTGCGGTCACACGGAACATTAGCCACGCTATGGAGACGGAAGATAGGCGGATTTTCCGGGCACGATCACACCACCACATCTGGGAAGCATAGAGCTCCCATGCCGAACCCGAGGCTTCCCGCTGAAGATGCGGGGTAAAAAACTAGTACCTCCAAGGTACTAGTTTCCGGAAACTGCGAGGCAAGGACGGGCACCTGATCGCGTTTCCGGTGGAATCCCGTGGAATCCAGTGCCCACCCATGTCCCGTCGCAAACAGGTTCCCCCCCAAGTCTCCACAGGATGCGCACAAGCGCCCAATGGCGCATGCGCACAAAGAGGCCCCCTCCCACTGCAGCCAGGCTTGCCGCCTCTGGAGGGTCGCTATGGCCACTGTCGCGCAGGCAGTTAGAGCGGCTGTGATGAGGGGGCCCCCCTCCCCCTCCATTGGCTATGCCTTGGAGCTCTGTTGGGGTCTGGAAGCGTCTGTCACCCTCTCTGGTAAGCCCATCACCCGCCTTCGGATGTGCAGATATGATTGCGCAGTCATGCGTATGCACAAACTTCAGTTTTTAAAAAAAATCTATCCCGTTTGCCACGGAAGCGGTGCCTAGCGATTGCTGGTGTGATTGTGCCGCGCCGCTTCTTTGCTGCGCTGCAGGGTGGTCATGTGATCGGCACCTCCCCTCTAAACACGGGACCTTGACAGGACCTCGACGGGACGTCTGATCGTGCAACCGCGCGTTATTTTGCTCCAGAGCAAACAGCCACGCTCCCCCCCACCCGCATTTTCCTGCCTGTGTGACTGGGGCCACAGTTTTATTCTGGATATAAGCTTTTGTGTGCATGCACATTCCACACTTCTTCAGATACAGTGAATAAATGATTCTTATTGATTGTTCAGGGCTTGGGCTGAAGTTTCTAGAGCAGTGGATTGGTCATCTCAAAGTGCATGACTGAACAGTGAGGCTTCATAGTCTGGTTCTACTAAGGTAATGAACATACATGCAGGCTTTCTGTGATGTGAAAAGTTTTGAAAAGGCCAATTTCTTCTAAAAAGGCCAATTTTGTTTTGAAAAGGCCACTTTGTTTCAGCGTCAAAATGCTTCATTTCTTCCCCCCTTCTTATCAGCAAACTTTAATTGTTTTTTTTAACCTGGCTGAATAAATTCAATAAGCCCCACCAGGTTTTTTTCAATCCAAAAAGCATTTATGCAGATGCAAATCACATATAATGCTGTTCTCTGCAGGAAGAGTTTCTGTAGCAGTTGGCTAAGACATCGGGCTTTTCCGCTCTCTCATTTTCCTCACATGTAAATTCCTGTTTCCTCTGGGAACGGGATCCGTTCCACGTGTGTTTTGCTCCCTCTAGTGGTCAATTCAATATTACACTATGTCTGGCATATCTCCCTGCAGATTTAAACTGCAGGTTTTTATGCTGGACATAAACAACTGTAATATCGATTCAACCACTAGAGGGAGCAAAACATATGTGGACCCCCGTAGAAACAGGAATTTACAAACGAGGAAAATAATAATGCGGAAAAGCCTATACAGATTTGACAACTGCAACCTCAAGGGAATACTTATATGTGAAAATTCATGATCGCAGACGTACCATTCTATCACCTCCAGTCTAATGGTTCTTCCATGGAGTAAGGCAGTTCACAAATCTTAGAATCCTTTCTGGTGCATAGAAATCCTCTGGCAAAAGCTCTGAAAGAAGCTGGCATTGTTATTGTTCATTTCCCAAGTAGCAAGAAGATGTTTTATGTCTGTTTTAAAAAACCAGCTGCAGTACTCAACGCGATAAAATAAAGTCTTTGTTGTTAATCTACATTATTCATCCCATTCTTTAAAATGTACTTATCCACATTACATTCTTTTTTTTGTTTGGTCCTATGACCCTTTTCTTGAATGCAATCAAGATCCAGAAGGCTGTATTCAGTATTTATTCAAATGACATCTTGCCTCTTGTTTTCCTCTTGAGAGAATGGGCTGGGATTTTTCATATTGATACACAACAGCCAGACAGGTCTTCTTGAGACGTATTTCTGCATTATGCAACCCAAAGATTGGCAGGTTTCCATAGACAGCAGGGTTTCTGCTGATAGAATGCAACAGGAGACCCCCAGGAGTAGCACTTCAGGGGGCATTTTGGGCTGCGGTGGGAGAGGGAAGGCAAAAAAGTTGCCTTCTGTGTGTAGAAATCTGTCTACACAGAAATGTTCCACGGGATCCAAGGTAATAAAAAGTACTCAAGATCCCTCGGAATGTTGTAGTGATGCTGGGATGTAGCTCATGGATTGCCCATAGCTATACACGATCCAAGACTCAGATTTTAGCATCTCTGTGACATCGCCATGGATTCTGGAACATTCCTCTCTCACTGATAGAGGTGTGTGCTTGGTATATACCGAGCCAAATAAATACCCCCAAAATACCTTATCATTATTTTTCGGATATTTATTCAGCCAAATAGAGATCAGGCATCTATATTCAGCTACCAAAGTAGCCCGTCCCGTGTAAGAGCTGATATTATTTGGTTTTTATTTGGGCTTCTCGATGAATGGGAGGGGTTTAAAGTTTAAACCCCTCCCCTCCCTGGAGTTGGGCCCCAGCTGCGCGCAACTCCACAGAGAAGGGAAGGGGCTTAAACTTTAAACTCCTTCCCTTCTCTCTGGAGTCTCGCTGCAGCTGCGGCCCAACTCCAGGGAGAGGTTTAAACTTTAAACCCCTTTCCATCCCCTCTCCCAGACAGGTTTGTGTGGTGGGGAGGGCTCTCCCTCCCCGGCGCGCACAGATCCTGGGGCCAGCTTCTTCTGCAGGGTGGTTTAAAAAACCACCCCGCAGAAGAAGCCCCACCATGCAGCCAGGTCTTTGTGTTGGGGAGGAAGAGGTGTACCCGCCGCACAGATCCCATCACTGGCTGCTTCTGCGGGGTGGTTTTTTAAGAAGCCTTGCCAGGCAGCTGGGTCTTCGGCGGGTGAGGAGGGCTCTCCCTCCCTGCCCACACAGATCCCAAGCCCAGCTTCTTCTGTGGGGTGGTTTAAAAAACTACCCCACAGAAGAAGCTCTCTCAGCAGGGATTTAAACTCCCCAATCTTGCTTCCCTTCCCCAGTCAACCCACTGTGGTAGAATTACAAACAAAACCAGAAAACTTATATTGTATGATACAATTCAAACAATTTGGAATCTTTGTTAAAGAACCCATATATATATATATATAAAAGAGCCAGGATCAAAAAGTACTTAATACAAAGGGAGAATACAATTAGATTCCACAATTCCTTTGTATAAAAAACTTCAGGAGTACAATAGTTCCATGTCTTATGCTTCACTGCCGCATTCACGTTTCGCTTCTTCAGATAGCTGGTACTCTTTAGCTGTGAATGAGAGTTTCAACAATTCTCCTTCACAGGGCTATTTTTGGGCAGGAACGCACAGGAACGGAGTTCCAGCTGGCTCCCGAGTTGGCCACGCCCAGCTGGAACTCATTAGCATAATAGGCCACACCCAAAAGCAGAAACTCATTAGGACTGGCTACATTAGGGGTGTGTGGCCTAACATGCAAAGGAGTTCCTGCTACAAAAAAAGCCCTGGGTTTTGACAACAAACAAGGTAAACAGAAGCAAAAGGTGGGTGTGGCTGGATGACCACACTTCTGGTAATGTGGGGTGTGGTCTAATAGGCTAATAAGCTGCTATGTCAGGGGTGTGGCCTAATATGCTAATGTGTTTCTGCTGTTGGGTGTGGCCTGTTATGCTAATGAGTTCCTGCTCCTTCACTAGTTTTCCATTTGCTCCACTGATAGGTTCTCTTTCTGCCGATTAGGCTTCTGCAATAGTGTTGGTCAACTTCCTTTGGAATATTGCAGGAGACATATAAGAGGTAACACCTCAAAGTCACTGAATAGGGAAAAAATGCCCACAGCATCACAAGAAATTTGCTCTCAAAGGTCTCACAGTGCAATACATAATACTGCATGTAACTAACTATTCCACTTATCATATTAGAAAACAACAATAGGAAAGTGTAATATCTAAACTGGACCTTGGTTGTTACTGCTCACATGTACCAAACTGGCACGTCCCTTCATCAAACTACAGCTGAGAATATTCTCCATTCTCCGGAAAGTATTGAACTGACCCAACCATGCTATAACCTGTTAAAATATATTCATCGCAGGTATCACTTTAATCAACAGGAGGAGTAACTTCCTTTGGGAAGCTGTTCCAAGTTGTAATGTTATATCATCCCGTTCAAGCAATGTTCTCCAGTGACTGAAGTTTTGAAAATGCAGATCTTGCTTCTCGTTGCGCATATTGCCACCCCTCCGGTATAACAGGACATCTAAGAGGTCTTTCGGGTTGTGGCTGGAACCTTAGATGAAGCAGATGCACCAAAGGATGAGCGACTGGTTAATGGTCTTGTCCCTTTAAAACAGATAAATAAGTGTTAGGAGTATAAAAAAAAAATATGGCCCTAAAGGGAAGATCGAATTCCAAATTCAAAAACAGGTAATTAACGCTCAGATCCAAGCTGCCTGGACCTGAACTGCAGCGCTTCCTTTGAAACCCTTATCAAAGATTCTTCTTGCCAGGAAATTAAACCCCCCTCCCAGTTCTGCAGAAGCCTTGCCAAAGTGTTCAATTAAAACCTAGACTCGGCTCTGAACTTCTTGGTCTCACGAGACACCAAAATGAACATAAACCCCAAAATTATTTATATCATTTGACGTACAAGCCCTAGATAGGCCATCCAAGCCCAACTAATATAACTGGGCTAGACAGCCGGGGATTAAATTAGTGTTGTGTAATGTTACATGTATCAATACTGTAAGTGACCCAAGGCTGGAACTGGACATTATGGATGACAAATGGCTGCGGCCTAAAATAGCATCCCTGCATTTCCTCATAGACTCTGCCCTGGTAACATCCATTAAATGAAAATGTGTGATATGATGTCATTGCATGGGAAGTTTTGATGTCATGCAAATATCGCACAAAGTAGTGGCGCAGAAGCGGGGAAACTTGCAGTGTGGTGGCTTTACATTGTACAGTTCCGTGTGCAGTCTTATGCACCGCTGAATTGTGTGGGACTTACTTCTGAGCAGGCATGCATGGGACTGCACCAAGACTTGACTAGATGGTGCAGGGCACAAGCAGTTTGTATAAGGAGAGATATTCATTCAAGTATGTGGGCTCTCTGTAAGGGGTTTAAAGGTAAGCCCCAACGCCTTGCACATGACCCCCAAATAGACAACCAATAGAGAGAATTCAGGACTGATGTAATATGCTTCTGATAGGTGGACCCTAATAATAAATGGGCTGCAGTAGGCTGGGCTGAGTGGAGTGTCCAGATTATCTTCAAGGGAAGCCCCATGTAAAATGTGTTACAGTAGTCTAGCTCTGAGATCACCACAGCGTGGGTCAGCATGGCCACAGCTTGGCTTACTCCCAGGGAAGTGTCTGCATAAACGGGGCCCACTTCCAAACTAAATGCAACAAGGGGAAAAGCAATCTCTTTTGTTTCCATGATCTAATACGTCCAAGCTTTTCTCAGAACACACCAATGAAAACTGCACCCCATCAATAGTGGGAAGAACTACAACTGTACTGTGTGAAGGGAGAGTTTTTTTTTTTTTTTAGAAAAGTGTGCATTCATGCAACCTCTCACCTCCCCTGCAGTCTGGAGTGGTACAGTCTAGGACAAGTTCTGTCTCGTGATGTGATATTTGTAGTGGTGGAGGCTGGAGTTCAGAATTCAGGGCAAGAACTATGTGACCCAAGATTTGCTGTGGAATCTAAGCCTGAACCCCGAGGTTTCTTTTGCATTTAAAATCCAGGAATAATTAATCCAGGAATAATGACCCTGAACCGCAGCCTCTGAAGTATACTCAGATGACCTCAACCTTGTATATAAACCTAAACCAGGGCTCAGAATTAAGAACATGCCTGCTCATCCACAGATTCTAATTTCCTTTGCTAACGTAGAATCAAATACTGCATGGAGAAAGGGGAGGACGCAAGGGGCGGGACAAGAAGAGCAGCCATAGGGAGTAATCCTAAAGTGGTCTACTCAGAAGTAAGTCCTGTGTTATCTAGTGGGATTTACTCCCTGGACAGGGTCCTTAGGACTGCAACAGGACCCACTCAAGAGCAAAGTATCATAAATGAATTTCACTTGACCTTCCTACCCATCTGTGATTATTCTTTCCATTCCACCTTGTTGTGCGTTACGGAATGCTCACTCCCGTTCTTTGCAATAAACCAGGAATATTTTCTTAAATGGAGTTACCACGATTGTTAAGTAACGTACATCACCTGCACAGCAACGTTCCAATGGGCCATCATGGGGGGCGGGGGGGGGTCCTCCCACAATTTTGGACACCGGTCAGCAGAAGAAATGCCTCTCTCGTCCCTCTGCCCTCCCCCTTCCTCCTGATCTCTTCCACTCTCACAAACGACAAGCAACATACGGTATTACGTTCCACTTGGCATGAACTTGGAAAGGGCTTGCTGCTGACTCAGTGGCAGGCGCACACGGTACGAGGAGGGAATTAGCAGCTCTTGCGATCTCACCTCTCTCACCCCTTTCTGCCAGATGCCAAAAACAGACAGCAAGCTGGCTTGCTGTCAAGCTGATGCCAGCGAAGCCAAGTGTCTTCCCTTGCTTCTGGAGGCTGCATAGGGGTTTTTTGGAAAGCGCTATGCTAGAGATTATCAAGAACTGCTGTCGGGGCAGGGAAGAAAAGCATCCTTTAGAGAGCTGTTCAAACTGCCAACCACATTATGGAACCCCGATAGTCCCATTAAATGGGGACATTAAGCAGTCATGAAGAGAAGAAGCAGAGGAGGAGGAGGAGATTGGATTTATACCCCACCCTTCACTTGGAGTCTCAGAATGGTTTACAATCTCTTTTCCCTTCCTTTCCCCACAATAGGCACCCTATGAGGTAGGTGGGGCTGAGAGAGCATTGAGAGAACTGCTCTTGAGAGAACAGCTCTGAGAGAACTTATGACTGGTCACACCAGCAGCTGCATGTGGAGAAATGGGGCATAAAAGCCTGGTTCTCTCAGATTAGAGTCTGCGCTCCTAACCCCTACACCAAACTGGCTCTACAATGATCAGGTGTGGATTATTTCAGTCCAGCCCAGCCTTTATTTCAATCTGGAATGGGCAGCACATGGTTATGTAGGTCAGCAGCAAGCCCATTTTGTTGAAAATCCACATGGCTCTGTGGAGACCAGGGCTATTTTTGGGCAGGAACGCACAGGAACGGAGTTCTGGCTGGCTCCCTAGTTGGCCACGCCCAGCAGGAACTCATTAGCATAATAGGTCACACCCAACAGCAGAAACTCATTAGGATTGGCTACATTAGGGGTGTGTGGCCTAACATGCAAAGGAGTTCCTGCTACAAAAAAGCCCTGGGTTTTGACAACAAACAAGGTAAACAGAATAACAAGCAAAAGGTGGGTGTGGCTGGATAACCACACTTCTGGTAACATGGGGGTGCGGCCTAATGTGCTAATGAGCTGTGCTGTCAGGGGTGTGGCCCAATATGCTAATAAGTTCCTGCTGTTGGGTGTGGCCTATTATGCTAATGAGTTCCTGCTGGGCTTTTTCTACAAAAAGAGCCCTGGTGGAGACCATTGATTTAATATTATTCCGGGTCATGCCGGAAGTGACATCATCACGTCAATGCAACACTGATCACCCCCCATTTCTCCCAGAATCCCCCCCCTCAACACTCAGTTGAATGGTGGCAGGCAAAGCTGGCCAGGAGCAGGCATTTTCGTGCCAAAGTGGGAGACCCGCCTGCCTCGGTTATAAAGTTTGCAGCCTGCAATATTGCACCTTCAGCTAACAGCCAGTCCTCAGGCAGGAATGTATACAGTGTCTTCCCCCAATAACGGTCCTTTGCTACAGATGTTTAGAGAAGTTTACCTCTTGGCCCGAAGCGTTGAAGATAACAATGGGAGCAATAGGGTTTGTCATCGTACTGAGAAAGAAGACCGGGAGAAAAAGATTAATTGTTGCACCTTTGCTAACAACACTTCATTTATCAGCGACTGGCATGCAAGGTGTTATGTGAGATGCTGCCACCCCATTGCCAACTATTTAAATAACACCCAGGGTGGGATCAAAGGAAACAAGGAGGGCACAGGACAAACAGTGAACTGCAGAAGACCTCCCCTCTCTGGGTTTTCTAAGTACCTGGAGAATTGAAGGTAGAAATCAGGAAATCCTGATCCATGGCCATTGATTGTCACTGAATTTATCTTCTATCCCATTTGGACCAAGATCCATAGTTTTTGCAATGTGAACACAGGCAGGAAAGGGTACAGCAGTTTGAATCTAGATCTTGCTAGGGAAAGCTTGCTAAGATGCAAGACCAGTTTCTAGGATTTGGGGGAGATTGAAACTAGTACTGCCTGTGTGCGTTTGCCTCCCATCTGCGCAACTTGTTAGGGTTGCCAGGTCTTACCTGGGTCCTGGTGGTGGGGGGGGTCCAGTCTGGCTCCTGGAGTTTTCTGGTGCATGTGCTGTGATGATGTCACCTGGAAGTGACATCATCGCACCGGGCACATCATGCAGGGGACGCCATAGAGTTTTTACCCAAACACCAGAGCACCCCCTGCATGATGGAAAGTGGGGGGAAACCTGCCCCCATCAGGGGGTTATATATCAAAAATGAGAGCTCATGGGAGGAGAGTGTATAAATATGAAGACACTCCGTGAATGAATTATGAACAATAGTACAATAGTTCCACGGCTTATGTGAGTACAGCCAGCCGTGTATAGCTGTACTCACATAAGACTATTGTACTCCTGAAGTTTTTTATACAAAGGAATTGTGGACTCTAATTGTATTCTCCCTTTGTATTAAGTACTTTTTGATCCCATCAGGGGGTTGGCAACCCTGCAGCCTGTATATTGTTATGTTAAAGGTCATTACAACAAGCATAATGGCTTTCTAATTCTGTGCCTAGACAGCAGGGGTCCCCAACCTCTTTGCACCTGTGGGCACCTATGGAATTCTGACACAGGCGATGGGCACAATCGCAAATATGGCTGCCACGGGAGGTGAAGCCAATCACAAAATGTCAGTGAGTGAGGATATATATAATTCTAATCTAATTCTAACATTAACAAATTGACATTTCGGGAAGAAGCTCTGTTTAACATTATGCCTTTTAATCTGCGGAGCCAACCAGAAACCCTTCTGAGCCAACTATGTTGCAAAATTGACATAGGTTGAGATAAATGGGTTGCAAATAGGGTTGCCAACTCTAAGTTGGGATATTCCTGGCGATTTGGAGGTAAAGCCTGGGAAGGGGAGGGCAGGACCTCAGCAGGGCATATAATGTCATAGAGTCCACGCTCCAAACCTGCCATTTTCTCCAGGGGAACTAATCCTGGTAAGTCTGGAGATCAGTTGTAATTTTGGGAGCTCTCCAGGCCCCACCTGGAGTTTATACAAAAACTGAGGATCACAGTGTTAGGAAGATATGCAAAAGTATATAGCACTGTGTATAATAGATGTATGTTCAAGGTAAATCAATTTTGTGCTTTTTCTCCCCCCCCTTTCTATACTGTTGTATAAATATTGGTATCAAATATGATCAAAAATAGGTTTCACCCAAACAAAACATCAAAGTGCAGGTTTACATTCTGTTCAAATATTCTGACAGTTCCTTGTCAGAATCACAATCACTAGACCCACGGGACTCTCGTAATTTACCCGTTTCGAATACAGTCTTTTTCAAGGACTGTGGTGTATATAAAGGACATAAGGCACAATCATTTCTCTTTGTGTGCACAAAAACTCTTAAGATAGCAGCATATTTTCTAGGGTCCCATCAGCACCCTTGCAGCAGCCATAATAACCTATCTAGGATAGGATATCTCTCATGTTTTATCAGGTTTGGGTGAAACCTATTTTTGATACTATTTGATACCAATAGTTATATAACAGTATAAAAACATTAAAAAAAGTTAAAAGCCCAAAATTGATTTACATTGAACATACATCTATTATACACAGTGCTATATACTTTTGCATACCCGCCTGGAGGCTGGCAACCACGGGTACAAATCTGATACAAAGAATTAACAAACACAATTTTATTTGCCTTTCCCCCCAGCTCAGTACATTCCATGAAAGATATGTCTGCATTACCCATTGCTTATCTTTGAAACTTTTCAGCCTGGCTGTGTTATATCCCCCTTGAAGCTTAACAAATGAATCTTAAAACCAGTGCTAATAGAAAATAATGTCTAGTGCCTGCATCAGGTGCGTACAGAAAGGCCCTTCCAATATTTACGGAGTAGGAGAGACAGCCCATTCCTATTATTAAAGATCCCTCCAAACACACCTTGAGACTAAAGTCATTACAAATGCAGGGATGGAGGCATCGTGCCATTATTCCTCCCCCAAATGTTCTCGTTAATGGGTTTGAAACTCTGGCAGCGATGTAGGTGTAATCACGCAGAGCAAAATACGCAGCTGTGTATTGCAGGAGAATGGGACGACATCAGAGATCCTGGTGGGGAATGGAGTGTGGAGCGCTCCCATAGGCTTCGCTGAGATCCTTGCTGTATTCCCCTTCCGCCCATGCTTGCTTTTTTATTGCATTGGAGGAACAGATCGAGTCTGAAATGGGCATGAAGTGGCTGCTTAGGCATGGCCCTTGTCAAGGTTCTCTCACTCTGGCCAGGCCACGATGACCTGATCTCCACAGCTGAAAGGCAAGAGGGGACCCTGACCAATGTTCCCTCTAAGCTGTGGAGTCTTGTGAGCAAAAATTCTGCTTCATGAGCTACTGGCATTAAAGTTGTGAGCAAGCGATTTGGCTGCTACATAAATGAGTTTGCTCTGGAGCCATCCTTCCTGAGCGAAGACAAAACGGTGTGAGCCGGAGGCTAAAAAACTGTGAGTTAGCTCACACTAACTCAGTTTAGAGGGAACACTGACCCTGACCTGTCTTCAGTGCTGGGGGGAGCTCTGTTCAGATGAACAACACTCACACCGGTCAGATGGAGTGCTTAATTTGTAACAGTGGGAATTGCCAGAGCTGAAAACCTGGCAAAATCACAGCAGCAGTGACAACATTATTTAATATGTTTATATGCCACTTCTTCCACATCCTCTGTCCCAGAGGTGTCGAACTCATTTGTTACGAGGGCCGGATCTGACATAAAAGTCACTTTGTTGGGCCGGGCCATGTGTGCCATAAAACGTAATGCCGGGTACCGGAGATATTCTACCACTGACAGTGACCCATACCCCTCCTCAGCAGAGCTCGGGGCCAAACCAGCCCTCCTCACCCCTTATCGTTGCCAACTCTGGGTGGGGCAATCCCTGGAGTTTTGAGGAAGACCCTGGGGAGGGTCTGCGTTTGGGGAAGGGAGGGACCCCAGCAGGGAGTCTAATACCCTAATAGAGGCCCTTCTGGCCCACATTTGGACTGGTGCTGCCCAGTTGCTCATCGGGCAGATAAGAGCCCTGGATGGGCCAGTTCCAGCCTCTGGCAGGCCCATAGCCAGCATTTTGTGTCTTGTGGGGCAATTTTTTCCTGGTGGGGCTGCCATTATTTGTCACAGTGAAGGGGGGTGGCATTAGGGCTGCCAAGTGGGGGCAGGGGACGTGTAACCCCCCACTTTGGAGGCCCTATTCCCACCACCGTGGAATCTGGCCCCGGGGGAACCCCACCCCCCGAAGCACAGCGTGGGTGTGTCACAGGAAGTGACGCAACCACGTAGAGCACGTTGGGGGCATGGCCCCAACAGTTGGAGGGAAAACTCTGGTTTTCCCTCCAACGATTGGGGCCACGCCCCCAACGTGCTCTACGTCGTGCGTCACTTCCTGTGACATTCTGGAGGCACGCGTGCGTCCCTTGGCAGCTCCCAGACCGAAGCAACGCTCCCCCGCCAGTGAGTCAGAATGATTTGGCAACCCTAGGTGGCGAGCACCCCTCTTCCTCCCCTCCTGCGAGATTTAAAGGGCCCTTCAGCTGATCAGCAGGGAGCACGTGGCCCACCGATCAGCCGGAGGGGCCTTTAAACCTTGCAAGAGGGGAGGGTGCCCTTTAAATGCTTTTGGGAAGAAGCCGGAAGGCTTTAAGCGAGGGTCCCTTTAAGGAAGGGGGCAGAGCCCCCAGTAGCCCCACCACAGTGGTGAGCCAGGCCCCAGGGCTGTATGTGTGACTTGTCTACCCTAACCCTTCATCTCAAATTGTTTGAAAATATTGTGGCATTTCAGTGGTCAGGCACTTCGCATGGTCGCTACATGTTCTGTCCCAGAGAGTTGTTTGTGGCTTTTTTTTAAAAATGAAGTTGATATATCACCATAGCCGTGTGTGTGGGGGGGAACAGTAGCTGTGGGGAGCATGGAAAATGGCATGGATATGGGCAGAAGGTGCAAGAATGTGCATCTCTTTTTCCACATGGCGTGCAAGGATGTCTTGACTGTGACGTTTCCCAAAAGACTGTAGGCAATGAGGTTTGGGAAAGAAAGCAAAACATCGGGGTGGGGGGTGGGGAGGAAACATAGAAGCAGGACAACAAAGAAGAGAAAAGGACTACATCGTCAGGATGCTCCCCAAGACAGTGCTACATGCTAAAGAGGCTAAGACAGATCAAAACATCCATGTGGTAGTAGCATAAGCCACAAAACATGTGCACGCACACAGAAACGGCACCGGCATGTTGTAATAACATGGGCAGAGATTCCAGTCACATTCCACTATGCAGTTCCCCAAATAAAAAAAAAAGAGCTCTGCGTGGCTCAGTGCTTCAAAAAGCCCTTCTTTCCCCACATGTGCATACCCTGAGCTGGTGGCCTAGCTATATCCGGGCTATATCCTTTCCCATGCACCCTACCCATTGTCACGACAGCCATTGTGCTAAGGCAGCTGTAAACCTGCCAGTGTTCTTCTCTCTGCTCCCCCTCCCGCCTCTCTCCCCTGCCGTCACATTAGAGCACTTCTAAGCAGTCTTTGGTGCAACCTGATCCCTAAGAGGAGCCTTTGAAAAGCTGGACGGTCCTCTGATGGCTGTCAGGTTGTAGGAAGTCACTGAAGGAGACAGATGGGGTGATGGGGTTTGGTTTTTTTTTCTTCCTACCTCGGCGTGCTGGCCGGGGCTGAGTTGCCGTTTGCAGTGGTAGCACTTCAGACAAAGGGGATGGTAGTCTTTGCCGAGAGAGCGCTTCCGCTCAGCTGTTAAGAGAGGAGGGAGGAAAGGTATGAGTAATTATGCTCCGAGCACCTCATTAATAGAGGAGCATATGTGGAATGCCGCTTTGATCCGCTGGAGTTCCTTGCCAAAGTAATTTTCAGAAGAAAAGGAGCCGTCGAATCTTTTTAATGCAGGAACAATTTGGCATCCTTCCCCCCCCTTCCTCCCCCGTTTTGCACCTCAATTTTTGCAACATGCATCTTTTTGAAGTTTGCTCAAACTTTACGTATTCGAAATTGAATTTCAAACCTTGCCAGAAGCTTTCATCTGCACTTCAATCAAAGATATTTTTTTCTTTCTTTTATATCTGGCCATCTTCTGCAAGATTATCCTAGATCATATGATGTTATTATTTGTGATGTGATGTGATGTGTGTTTGCGTGTGTGTCTACACAGCTGAACCCGAAAAGGAGACACCTACCCAAAGATTGTCAGTACCTGGCTGGTTTCCTAAGGCCTGATTTTTCAATCAGAGGCCGCTTAGCACCTTATTGTCTAGGAAATTCCTCAGAGCCACACAGCGTTCAACTCGAGGCATGCTTCCTAGCTGCAAACACTGTCCTTCTGGGATGGAAAGTGAAAATTAGAAGTGGGTGTCAAAAGTGCCCTTCTTTACACCTTTGGATTTGTGTTTGCGTGTGTGTGTGTGTGTGTGTGTGTAGATAGTCAGTTCCTGAGAAGACTGCACTACTCTCGGTGGCTTTCATCATTTCTAAGTAGGGTTTCCAGCTCTGGGTTAGGAAATACCTACAGATTTTGGGGGCGCAGCCTGGGGAGGGCGGGGTTTGGGAAGGAGAGGGACTTCAATGGGATACAATGCCATAGAGTCCACCTTCCAAAACAGCCGGAAGTGATCTCTGTCGCCTGGAGATCAGCTGTCATCTCAGACAACCTCCAGCCACCACTGGAAGCCTGGATGCCCTGTTTCTAGGATGTCCACAAGGCACTCTCAAATTCCAGCTAGTTGCCCCATTAAGGAGGGACTTCTTCTTCTCAGCTGTCCAGTGTCGAGTTCTAAGTACAGCTGGGGTCAGATCTAGGGTTGCCAGGTCCCCCCTGGCCACTGGGAGGGGGTAGGGTGGGTGGGCTGCCAGCCCCAGTTTGGGAAACCCCTGAAGATTTAGAGTAGAACCTGGGGAGGACAGTGACCTCAGCGGGGTGCAATGCTCTATAGTCCAAAGCACCCTTTTTCTCCATGGGAACTGATCTCTGTGGTCTGGAGATGAGCTATAATAGGGGGGGGGATCCCCCAGGTCCCACCTGGAGGCTGGCATCCCTCATCAGATTCCAATGACCAGAAAGGATGACAAAACCTGAGAGAAGTGGAAGTGAACCAGGACAGTTTGCCACTGAAAAAGGAGTCAATAACACCAGGCCCTGGACATGGTTATGGGGGTGGAGTAAGGAAGCTGGTACAGAAACACCCTGGAAAATCATTCTAGTGGCTTCCCTTGGCAATAGGTTCCCTATTCCCTACACTGAGGGTTTGCAGCAGATCTTGGAGCTAAGCAACGGCACAGAACTGGCTGTTCAGGGTCACCTGTTTCTCAGGATCTAGAGCCGAGGTGTCGAACTCATTTGTTACGAGGGCTGGATCTGACATAAATGTCATGTTGGTGGGCTGGGCCATGTGTGCCATAAAATGTAACATCAGGTACCCAAGATATAAACTTTATAAAGATGATTTTAGATGCCAAATGGCATTAGCAGGCTTGATTGGATTCGGTGTGATATGCAGAAGGGTAGTAGGTGTGGAGATATCAGCATTGGTAACGAGACTGGAAACCTACGTCTCAGTTTAGTCCAGGAGGATTCAGTCTGTGAGGATGCAAAGAATAAATGGAAATAAGTCTAAAGAAGTGAGCAGTGACTCACGAAAGTTCATACCCTACCACATATTTTGTTAGTCTTTAAGGTGCTACTGGACTCTTACTCTTTCTACCGCTATTAGAAACCACAACATTCAAAAACCAGTGGGAAAACGTTTTAACCTTCCAGGATATTCAGTTGCAGTTGCTGACCTAAGAGTAGCAGTGCTCTTACAAAGGAATTTCAAAGGGGTATTAGAAAGAGAGACTTCTGAATTGCAACTGATGATAATATTATCTGGACTGTTTTGTGCTGGTTACGAACTGTAATAAAGCGATGATGACGACGACGACAATGACAACGCTAAAGACAATGCATCCTCCTGGACTGAGTGGAAACCTAGGTTTCTTCTCTCGTTACCAATGCCTGCTATTGTCATTTGCCATCTGAAATCACTTCACTCTCCAAGATATAAGGACACATGGACTCACATTCTAGCTGCATCTGAAGAAGTGAGCAGTGACTCATGAAAGATCATGCTCTGCCACAAATTTTGTTAGTTGTTAAGTTGCTACTGAACTCTTGCTCCCTTCCACTAATAAAGATTGTCTGTTAGAACTGGATAGGGGATCTCTCTCCCTCCCTCCACCTCCCTCTCTCCCTCCCTTTGAAGAAATGTGTGCACACGAAAGCTTATACCTGGAATAAAACTTTGTTGGTCTTAAAGATACCATGGACTCTCCCTCCCTCCCTCTGTCTTTGGTTCTTTCTCTCTCCCTCCTCAAAGGAGAAGGGGGGGAGCACTCAGCCAATCGAGGGAATGGAGGCTTGGCTTTCTTTCTCTCCTCTGCAAAGCAGGAAACAGGAGAGGAGAGAGCTGGGCAAAAGTGAGCTGCAATGCAGAAAGCAGAGAGCCAGGTGCTGGCAGGCCAGATAAGAGCCCTGCAGGGGCTGATTCTGACCTGTGGGCTGTATGTTTGACAGCCCTGATCAAGACAAATCAGGTCCATGGTATTTGTGTTTTTGACTGAACTGCCTGAAGGTCTGTCCTCTGACCAGTGATACACAGAGCTGGGGTAATTCAGACCTGACCTGTACAGCTCCCAGTTCAAGCTCTGGGATGCTTGACATTCCCTGCCCCCTAATTACTAGAGGCACAAACATTTATCAGCCAAGTCAAGGGGAGCCTTCACACATGGGGCTGAGAAAGCCCTGAGAAAACGGCTCTTGAGAGAACAGCTCTGAGACAACTATGACTGACCCAAGGTCACCCAGCTGGCTGCTCTGAGAGAACTGGTTCTCCAGATTAGAGTCTGCTGCTCTTAATCTTAAACACTACACCAAACAGGGAGGGAGAGGCATATTTTGTTTTAAAAAGGTTTCATCCACATAATACCTGGAAGTGAGTTGTTCAGGGGCCCATCCAAGACTGGAGCCAATGACCATCCTCTTACTTGAAAGTAGGAGGCAGGTGTGTATGAAAAGAAAGCACAATGTTTTAGATTCTGGTTGGGAGGAGAGAGAAAGAACACTGCTGTGAGCTGGCTAAAGCCCTTGAGGGGTGCAGGATCTCTCTCTGGGGACTGGATATGGGTAGGCTTTTCAACACTGCATAGAGTTGTCAACTCCAGGCAGGGAAATTCCTTGAGATATGGGTGTAGAACCTAGGGAGGGTGGGATTTTTTTGGGGGGGGATTCAGTGGGGTACAATGCCATAGAGTCCACCCTCCAAAGCTGCTGTTTTCTCCAGGGGAATTGATCTCTGTGTGGTCTGCAGATCAGTTGTAATCCCAGGAGAACCCCAGGCCCCACCTGGAAGTTGGTAACTCTACTTGCATATGTATCTTCCTTATAAATAAAAGCCGAATGGTGGTGGCACGTCTCTAGAACATTCCACATGCTCCAAAATCAGTTCGCTCTCTGATCTGTCTATCCACTGGCTGCTTTGCCTGAGTCCTGCCTCCAACATTCTAAACAGTTTGCTCTTCCTCTCCGCCCCATAGCCAGTCAGAACACAGAGGTTATTTGCATATGCAGCCTCATTGGCCTCTGCCTCAGAACACAGAGGTCGTTTGCATATGCGACTTGATTGGCGTTTGCCTCTAACATTCTAAACAGTTTTGCTGTTCTGAGGTAAAATATGTCCAATCTCCAAGTGAGGGCTGGAGATCACTCAGAATTACAACTGCTTTCCAGATGGAAAAGATCAGTTCCCCTGGAGAAAATGGTGGGCTCTGTATCCTTATATGCTGCTGAGGTGGCCCCCATATGACAGCCAATGTGATGTAGCAGTCAGGGCTTCAGAGCACGGGAGAGGCTGCAGATGTGTGGGGGGTGGAAAGCTGAAGAGTGAGGGGGAAATAAAGGTAGGTTGATGATTGGCTGGGAAGGAGATAGAGTTGCCAACTCCAGGTGGGAAATTCCTAGAGATGTGAGGGATGGAGCCTGGAGAGGGTGGGGTTTCAGGAGATGTGGGACCTTGGACAGGTACAAACCCATAGACTCCATCCTCCAAACCAACCATTCCCTTCTGGGAAACCATCGTTGCCAATCTCCAAGTGAGGGCTGGAGCTCACTCAAAATTACAACTGTTCTTTAGGTAGCAGAGATCAGTTCCTCTGGAGAAAATGGTGGACTCAGTGTCATTATACCCTGCTGAGGTCGCCACAGCAAATTGACACTGAGTGTCCAAGGCCGGGGCACCCGCCCAGAGCCTCTTTCTAGAGGCCGTTGTATTTATTTCCACAATGGGCCTTTTTCCTAGTTTGAAAATAAAGGCAATATTACACAAAAAAATGTACTCAGTCCCTCCTCCAAAGGGAGCCAACCTGGCTAAGCATTAGCCTCCAGACCTTCTCATCGCTCACAGAATTGGGGCCTGCATAACAATACAGTACTGGCTGATCTGTACATTGATCTCCCTGATGTATTTTAACAGGAAACAGCAGCCTGTGAGGGGCCCAGATTTTCAGATTAGGAGCATGGTACAAGGGAAGGAGGTATTAATGCTTCATCTGTGCAGTTTCACTGCTGGAAATCTACTTCCAAGAGGGGCAGGGATTATTAGTACTGAATGGAAAGAAAGTCACCTGCTCTTTGGATTGCCATTTTTCTTTCCTAGGGCAAAGAAGAGGAAGAAGAACAGCAGGCATAAGGGAGTTAGGGAAATGGT